AGCATTCCATGAAAAAGTTCCTAATGTCTTCTGCTAAGTTAATCTCTGAACCATCTGATCTTTCCTCCCAAGCAAGTGGATTTTTCTTTCTTCCTTCTTCCAAAATCTTTGCCCTACTTCGTGTTACAATTTGAGAAGGAGAATAGGTGATCCTGCCCTTGAAATCTCGCCCCACATCAAAAGGTGTTTTGAACATCCTAGAGAAATCTATTTGAAGAGGTTTTAGAATGTTGTCATTGAAGGCCTTGTCTTCTCCTTCCGAGTGGGTATATAGAATAGGCCCCTCTCTATCTTCCCTGATGTCTTCTAGTGCATTGTTACTTAGTACCAGGTTCTCTTCATCAAAATTGTCAAACTCATCTTCCTTGAGTGGGCTGCCATCTTCCAGGTCGACTTGATCAAAGAGAGCTGCATAAGTGTTGGGCATAATTGGAATGAATTCGGCAGCAAAAGGGGATAGGCGCACTCTTGGAAGCTGGGGGTAATATATATATATATATATATATATATATATATATATATGGGATTGACTCCAGTGAGATGACACCTTACGGTGAGATGACATTCTTCGGTCAGATGACACAAAGCTCACCACTGGTCACTGCAAAGCTCACCAAAGACAAATACAAAGCTCACCAAAGTGTAAGGCAAAGCTCATCATATTTTTTCAACACTTTGAATTTTTTTCCAAAAAAAAATCAAAGGAAAGGGTGCTGACTGGACTTTGACTGTGACCGCCAGTATTGACCGCCGCCTGCCACCGGCCGCCGCCGCCGCCGGTCGCCGGAATCCGGTCGCCGTCGCCGGACTCCGGCCGCCGTTGTCGGGCTCCGGCCGCCACTACTGCTCCGCCGCCTTTGACCGGAGTTGTTATTTTATTTTTAAATAATTTTTTAATTTTTAAAATTTAAAAAAAAGGTAAGTTTTGGGGTTCAAAGTGGTGAGCTTTGCTTTATTTTCAGGTGAGCTTTGCATTGTCCATTGGTGAGCTTTGTAGTGTAGTGTGATGAGCTTTGCTTTATTAGCTTTTTTTAATAAAAAAAAAGTGGTGAGCTTTGCATTGTTCCTTGGTGAGCTTTCCATTGATAGTTGGTGAGCTTTACACTTTGACCGCCCATGACTAATGTCCACCGCCGATGACTCCCAGTGTTGCCGTGGACCGGTGGTTGAGCGGTGGTTGAGTGGTGGCTGAGTGGTGGTGTTATTTTTTTAACTTTTTTTATTTAAAAAAAGTGGTGAGCTTTGCATTGACAGTTGGTGAGCTTTGTATTGGTAGTTGGTGAGCTTTGCATTGGCAGTTGGTGAGCTTTTCATTGGCATTGTTGTGTGTTGTGTCATCTCATTGAAACATGTCATCTTACCATAAGGTGTCATCTCACTGGAGTCAATCCCTATATATATATATATATATATATATATATATATATATACATATATATATATATATATATATATATACATATATATATATATATATTTCTTTGTGTCAAAAATAAGGCCTTTAGCAATCGATCTTTCTAGATGCTCGAAAATCTCTATGGATTTACCAAAAGTCTTTAAACGAAGGAAACTCTTCTCTCCCTCGCAGATTGTTACACGTAGTAAAGCCAAGGTTCTCTCCTCGTGTAAGAGCCTTCTCCCTTTGGGCAGGTATGTATCAGAATCTGATGATAATTTTGTTAGTGAATTTGAAGGTACTCTTGATAATATCTACCGACCGATTAAAGGTCAAAAACAATTAGACTTTTCTTTACAAGCCCCTAAAACAAAAAAGAAAGGGAGGCAGCGTACTAAGGCTCAAAAGAAGAAGAAGAAGACTATGCAATGACTCCTCCAATTAGATTGAAGATTCTGTCTCGGTTATATCTTATATAATTGGTTTTCATATATGCTGCACTAGTTTACTATGGGTATTTCTGTTGATTACTGAATATCTTGAAGCTTTGCCTACTCATGGGTGCCT